CGGCGAGGACGCGGCCGTGCTGGACGCGGCGCTGCGGCGGCACTTCCCGGCGCCCGGCACGGTGCAGGCGGCCCGGTACAGCCCCGGCTGCCCCGGCGAGTGCCGCGCCGCCGCCTGCCGCGCCCTGCGGGCCGCCCTGCAGCACCCCGCAGGTACCGAACGGGACGGGGGGAACATGGGCGGCCGGCCCGACCCTTCCTCCTTCCCACTCGGGGGGTTTCATAGCGGGATTTACTCCGTTTTCCTGCGGAATCTTCCCCTCCTTGGTGGGATCTACCCCATCCTCATGGGATCTGATCTCCTGATGGGATCTCCCCCTCAATGGGATCTGGCTTTTCCCATCGCGATCTGGCCATTCCTGATGGGGTCTTTCTCCAATGAGAGACTTCTTTCATACTAGCGGGATCTGAGCCTTCCTAGTGGGATCTGTGGCTTTTTGGTGAGGTTCCCAGTTCTAGCAGCTGGACAAACATCTCAGCACTTTGGGAAGTACTAGAGCAGCTCATGGATAACAGGGATGTGGCAACTGACAGCTGTGACATTGTGGCTATCCATGACATGGTGGCCTTCCATGCTTGTTCCATGTGTGTTCTTGAGGGATGCAGGATTGGGGTGTGGCCCATGCTGTAGGGTGCAGGCAGGACCTGACCTTCCTGCAGGAGGAAGATGCTTATGCTGATTTTACAAAATGAATAAGTGAGAACAGCAAGTCACTGTTTGGGTGTAAAACCATACGTCAAGGTGAGGACGGCAGGATGAAAGCTGGGTGTCAGTCAGGCCTGAGGAACAGCACTTGTTCTGGGGCGAAAGGTGAGTCATGTTTGTGTGCCACTGCAGGGTGGTGGGTAGCTGGGCAGGCTCTGCTGTCACAGCTGCCACGCAAAACACCTTAGTCTTTGGCACTGCTTGTCTTACGCTGTTTCCCTTTCATCCTCCCTTCTTATGTTTTTTCCCACTTTTCCCTTGCTCCCCAGCATTTCCAGGAGCTCGAGTGTTCTGCTATCTTGCTGCCTCTACCCTAATGGGTCCTGGCACTTGCCTTCAGCACCACATTGACAGGGTCCTCTGGGATCCCTGGGACATCGGGATAGTTGGCTGCAGTCCAGGTGCTTCTTTCCATCAGTTCAGCCCAGAGTCTTGGATCTGAACATCAAGAAGCTTTGAGATGGCAAGGACCCATTGTGAGGGCACAGTGCTGTCTTCTGCCAACTCTGTAACTGAGGCATGCACAATCTGCTTTCCAACTTCTCTCCTTTTGCAAGCTTTTGTCTTCCTCACATTGTTGCTGCTGCAAGAATTTCTGGTATGCTCTCAGACACCAGTGAGTCCTCCAGTTCTGGTCACAGCAGCCTGGTGGGGCATTAGCTACAGGTGCAGAAAAGCATCCCTGCATACATGACCTTTTTCTACCTTGGCTGCTGGTGCTTGGCTCCGTATATGTAGCTGTGGAGAATGAGGAGCAGGAGGAGCTGGATTGGGTGTTGCAGCCTGTTTGTGTGTACTTTATAATTGTGGTGGGTAGGAGGACTCAGCTTTAATTCAGCTCTGGTGCTCTGCCTGGTGCTCTGAGTCATGTAAGTGTCCCAGGACCTGCATGTGTAATGAGGACACTCATCAGCTCTAGGGTTCAACCTTAGGCAGTGACAGCTTCTTTCCATGCTCCTGTGAGCCCTGCCTTCCAAAATCTCCATGAGGGAGAGGGATCCCAAGCATAGCCATGCCTCTAAATAGCCATGCCAGGCAGTGCACTAGAGCTTTTGTTTTGTTGACTGGCAGGAAGGATTGTCACTGTGAACCCTTTAGTGTCGCAATGGTTTGATAAGCTGAAGGACACTGAATTTGTTATCTGATTAGGAGATGAAAGGCTCAATGGAGATGCTGAACTGCTGCTGTTGGAGACCATAAAAATTACACTGCTGTAGTATTTTACAAGCTGCTGTAGTGTTTTACTATAATAGCTTGAAAATCTGTAGTAACTTTGTTGTCTTCCAGAATAAATACATCGACCACAGGCTCTCTGCAATTTCCTGCAGTTTTCAGTGTGCTGCAAGCCTGTGTGTGTTCAGGGAATTGCTTAATAAAGCAGGGAACAGTAAATAGGTTGATGGTGCAGAAGCTGTGTGATAATGCAAAAGAAAATCTTCCTTCTGCGGGAATTCCCTCACCATGTCAGTTCCCAGCCTCGCCACGTGTGCTGCCTGAGCTCCTGCCAGGTTTCTTGCTCGCTCTGGGCTGCTGCATCCAGAATGGTTTTGGCAGTGAGCTGGCAAAGTAGAAACTGACACTGGAGACAAATTTCCAGGATAGAAGAGAGGTTTCAGCCAGAAATAAGGATTGTCAGGAACTGTTCTGTGCTTTCCATGGGTGGCTCTGTGGTGTGGACCTGGTTTTGCTGTGAGAAATTGCGCTTGTGGAGGGGAGGTGGGGCAGCAGCAGGGCTGACCTGCTACCAGTCTGAACTCACCTTCTCTCATTTATTCAGAAGAGAGGAAAGACAGGGAGAGTTGGAGGCTCCCATCCTTCCTGCGGTGCATTTCTTGGAAACAGAGGAGCTGGAGAAAAGATCACAAAGCAAAAGCTGCAAACAATATTCATGAAGGTATACCCTGCTCCCTCCCTTGTACTCTGCTGTGACCATCAGAGGTTCCTCACCGACTCCCTGGTGCCCAAACCCCTTGCTGGTGGCCTCCTTCAGCTATTTCTAGCTCTGCAGTTGGCCTCTCTTCCCTGGCTGTGGTTTGGCCCAAACTTGAAGACAACCAGCACACATCTGTCTTTTGTGTTGCTGTCTCCCTGTTTTCTGACCTTTCACTTGCCTAAACAAAGCCATGCTGGGTCCAGTGCCCAAATATACCCCTGGAAGCACTGCTGAACTCAGCTGCCTTTTGCTGGAGTTTCTGGCAGCAGAACTACTGTCTGGCTAAACAATGAATTGGAAGTATCATCCTGATGTTACATGATGTTTCCTGCAAACACAGCTGGAAGGAGTGTTCAAACCACTTGCCTTTGGGGCTGGCAGAGAGAAGGGAGAGGGCAATCAGCCTTGGGCTCCCTGATTGTAAAGGAAATTGTTCAGATAACAAATAGTCTTGTGTTCAGCCTTTGTGCACAGTTGGCACTTCTGCTTGCCTTTCCCAGCAGTGATTTTCTTTCTGCAGAAGTGCCTCATGCAGGTGCCTACAAGGTGTGTAGTTTGGAGATCTAGATTGTTCTATGAAGCACAAAGAGGAGGGAAAGCTCCTTTGCTGTAAAAAGAATAAAATAGATTATATCTTCAGTTGAAAGGGACCTATGATGATCATCTAGTCCAACTGCCTGACCACTTTGGGGCTTGCAAAACATTGAAGGATTTTATTAAGGATATTGTCCAAATGCCTCTTAAACACATAAAATGCTTAAAGTGCATAGGAGTTGGAGAAAACAACTGAAATGCCCACTTCGTGTAGCTTGAGACAGGTCCTTCAGGACCTTCAGGCACAGAAGAGTGCCTGATTTTGCTGTCAGTGCCAGGCAAATGATGCCTTGTGGCCATGCAACTTGTTCTGAGCTTGCTGAGACTTCAGGAGGCCAGGAGCTGGGTCCTGTGCTCCTTTGCTCTATTCACTGAAGCAATGTTGAGTTTATAAAACAAAATGAAATTCAGTTATGAAAAAAATCAGCTGTGCTTAGGCTGTGAGTATACATCAACTGCTTCATTCCATGCTTTCTTTTCATCTTTTGTATTTTGTATGAGGAAGGGTTTTTCATTCAGATCTCCTTTGACCTCTCTCTGCTCTTTGTAGATGGCCTGCAGGACCCCGAGGAAGAAGTGGCTTTGACCAGCCTGTCCCCCAATGGAAACTGTGAAGAAGCTGCTGGAGGCACAGGCACCTAGAGCTGCTGGGCACCCAGCACAGTCCACATCCCAGATCTGCCTGGTGGATTTGGAGCAGTGGGAGGAAGAGCTGGTGCAATGCTCACTCACCCTCTCCTCCAAGGACCCACCACTCCGTGGAGAAGCTGTTCAGCTGAACTCCTGAGGGTCTTCTGGAGCTCCTGACAGCCTCTGGGGTCTGTGCCAGAGAGCCATTCCCTGCTGTGCCTGGAGCTGCTGCTGGACACTGGGCTTCTGAGAAGGCCTTTGGGGATGTATCCCATATCCTGGGCAAGATGACGTTGGGACTTTGAGCATGAAATGCAGCCACCCGTTTGAAGAATGAGGAGCATTTTCTAATTCTGAGCAAAGTTCCCTGCTGAGGCTGCCAGGGCTGGCCTTCCTGGCAGACCAATTCTGCTGCCTTGTTTTCCTGCTTTATTGGTGCTTTGAAGTTCCCACTCTCTTTGTGATTGAGTGACAAGTGACACAGTGGTGTGGAGAGACTGCAGTGGGACTAAATGAGGTCCTGGATCTACCAGCTACTGAAAAGGCTTGAGTGTAACTGTGTAACGTGAAGAATGCAGTAACAGCCCACTGTGGGTAGCAGGAATAACATAAAAGATATTGATAGTAAAGGCAGCTTGAGCAGAGTGTGGTTTGGGAGCAGGATTCCTCTGGCTTGTCCTGGTGCTCACAGACTGGCTGATGGACTGCCTGGGTTGGAGGGGTGGCAGGTGGACAGTAAGGTGTGGCTGGTGTTAGATGGGGCTATGGGAGAGGCCCATCTTACCTGGGGCATCTCCACAGCTATGTGATGGCAGAGCTTGGAGGTGACAGGTAACACAAGATGTGGCTGCTTCGTGAATAAATATATAAAAATGATCTATTTAAGTAGTTCCAAAGGGCTGCCTGTAGTCTGTGTGGCAACACAAATAATTATAAGTCCTTGATTTATGAGGAATATTACTACCTTTTCCATTCGTACTTTATGCAATGCAAAACATGTCTTTTTTTTATTTTTACCACAAGCTGCTGGGTTCTTCAGGAGTTTGATCCAGCTCAGATCAGCAACTTCAACCTGTCATGTCCTGCCTACCTCTCCTCTGGGTTAGCACTGATTTGTGTCAGTACATCCTCTGTGCATGTCTGTCCCCTCTCTGGCTCCTTTTTTCCCAGTGGCACCTGAAGTGCCTGCAGTCCTGCCAGCTCTGGCCAGCACTCTCTCCTAGCACTGTGCCTTCAGCATCTCTGTAGCTTTTATCTGGAGCAAGGGATATTGTTTTTTACCCACTCATGACCATGATCATCAATATTTTTCACCAAACCATTTTTCTGTGCCTCAGTTTCCCTACCAGTGGGATGGGGACACCAACACCTGTCTACCCTGCTGGGGTTATGATGGTAACACTGGAGCAGAGAGCAGCAGCTCTCACGTTTGGAACTGGTCCCTTTAGTGATGGTGTTGCTTTGCCCTTTGGGCTGGAGGAGTGTGGCTGAGGGTGTCTGGGGCATGCTGGAGTGGGCAAGAGGGGGAGTGTTGTCAGGATGCCAAGTCCATGTGAGCAGCCTTTGGGGAAGTGCATGTCACGTCTCTTCACAGCAGAAACACTTGCCTGTGTGGATGTGGCTGTGGAGAGCAGCTGGCATTGACAGAGCATGTTGCTCTGCACAGAGGGCACCAACCCGCTCTCCTTCCAGCCTGCAGGATTTCTGCAGGATTTCTGTGCTAATGACCAGGCGGAAAATACAAATGTGACTAAGTGACTCAATGAAGACACTTGGTGTGAGTGGCTCTATGCATGACCCCAGGTTTCAGCACTGAGTGCATCTTGGCGGGATGAAGGTTCCTTCCTGCTCCATCCCTGGCACGAGCCCATGGCTCTGCTGTGCAGGGAAGTCCCTCTGCTTGTCTGCACAGCAGAGCCCAGGTCACTGGACAGGTCTGTATCTCCCAATAAAGCCCTTGGTTAGGTGAGTCCAGTAGGACTTGACACTGTGGTGGGGGAAATCTTCATTTTCTTGCAGCATTTGGCCTTTGCTGCCAGGAATTCAGCAATGCAGAGGTGGCCCAAGAGCACAGATTTGCAGTTAAACTTACCTTGGTGCTGAAAATCCAATGGATTTATTTACTGGTAATTTTTAGGTAAATCATGCAGGTTTACCCTTTCAGGGAGACTTCTGTGGAAGCAGATGAACTGCCTGGGGCTTTAGGAGGTGTGAGTGGGAATACTTTTGATCAAAAGCATTGTTTACTTTTGACTGAGGAATAAAAGTGACTGGACTCCTTTTTTCTTTTTTTTTTCCTCTTGTCTTTTTTCACCATCTGGACACATGGAGCTGTAAGCAGATAGTTTTACATGTTTCATTTATTTAATAAGGTAAGGGCACTGTTATGTGCTTGTTGTAAAAAATAAAGACATTTAATTTCTGAATTGGAATGTGCTTCTGGGGTTTTGTTTGTTTGTTTGTTTGTTTGCCATGGTGTTATCCTTGAAGTAGCATTATCCATGGCTTAACTCATATTTATCTTGGTTTGAATAAAAGGGATATGGGTAGGGAATGGAAGTGACCCCACTGTATGATATCTGGAAGACCAGCAGAACTGGTCTGTGAGCAGCTCAAGTGGGGCAGTGGGGAAGGCAGGAGATCTTCCCAGTTGTCTTTAAGGTGGAGCTTCCTCTCTTGGTGTTTTGGGTAGGTCTCTGGTAACCTTCATCAAGAACTTTCATTAAGAACTTTCATTAAGAACTTTCACTCACTGATGCCATCAGGGAATTCAAGCCCTTCAGAAGGCAGCACCATTGCTGTTGAGCTGGACTTTACCTTTTGCAAATCCACCAGCCTGTGTGTCCCATCTGTCCTACTGGAACCAAGGAAGGAGCCAAAATAACTCCACGTTCCTCCACAACTGGGGCAACTTCAGGTCTGTGTCTGTGCAGATCTGATCACTGCCCTGTGCTGTCAACTGATGGAGGGGGAAAGGGATTTGGTAGGGGGCTGTCAGACTCCTCTCTACTTGTGCTTCCCTTTTCAAGGGAGAGATGGGGTTGGGTAAGGCCTTTCCCCATGGAAACACATTTAAGAAGAGTCAGAGGCGGCCGGCAAGAAGTGGTAAATCCGTGGGGTAAAATCCCTGATCCCTGTGACGCCAAGGCACACGCTGTGCCCCCAAAGATGCCTCCTCATTGCGGGCAGCCTGTCCTGGCAGGGGGCACAGCCGCTTCTCTGGGCACGGCGCGAACACGGGCACTGACGGGGTCACCTGTGGGGACCCCACAGCTCCGGCCCCCTTCCCGGGCTGGGAGGTGTGGGCTGGGAGGGCTGAGCACCCTCCCATGCCAAGTATCAGGAGTGGGCTGTGCGGGTGCCGTGTGAGCTCT